GCGCCAGCCTTCACCCCGCCAGGCCCACAGTGCCAACAACCCACTAAGGGAGAGCAGGGCTAACAGGCAGGGCAGGGCACCCGCACCACGTGGGGGTGTTGGGGGAGCAGGCTGACACCCCTCTTGCCTGGCCCACACCAGGCCCCTTTCCCCATTCTAGGAAGAAGGCACAGGCCTGATGGGTGACAAGGAGAGGTTTTACACCCAGTTCCCGCAGCCGCCACCCCACTGCTCACCCCTGCTTTGCTGCAGGTCTCCCATGCCCCGGGCACTGCCCCTCTGGGTCAGAGAGCAGCACCCTCCGCCCTCCGGGTGGCCGAAGTCTACCAGCCCCCCGGGTGAATGTGCTCAAATCTGTGCACCATGGGGAAACCGAGGCAAGTAAGTCTTCTGGCAACCTACAGGGGAGAGCTCCCAGCCTGCAGCCCGGGGCGGCCTCCTGGACCCAAAACTCTCTATCCTTCAAGGCAGGGCCCACGGCCCCTGCTCTGGAAAACCTGGTCACGGGGGAGAGGCTGGGCACACGCACACACACTCACCCCACTGGGGTTCAGCTCTGCCTCCCTACTTGGGGCCTGCTCCCCACCAGCCCCGGGGGGCGGGGTGGATCTGTCCGCTGGGGCTGACAGCAGCCTTGCACGCAGCAGGCCGTCCCTCTGCTCAGACAAGGACACAGACAGGGCTCCAGCACCTTCCGCAGCGCCCAGAGCCTTTCACACCTCCCGCTGTCTGCCGACCCCCAAGCCTTCTCCTGTGCCTCGCCTCCACAAACACCCCCCGGGGTGTCACGGTCCTGGGAGCAGCAAGCATTCAGTAAGCACCGTCTGTCCTGCCGCGGGGGGGTGAGGGGGAGAAACTGAGGCACCTCTCAAGAGATCCGCGCGGGCAGCCGTGCCAGTGTGGAACATTCCAGTGCCAGTGAATGAATCAACACTCGTTTTTGGGTTGTTTCTTTTTTTTCTCACACACACAAAAAACATCTGCATTTGGAGCCAGTGTTGGAGAGGGAGGGAGTGGAAAAGCTCCATTAGACTAATAAAAATGCCAAGTGTTGGCCAGTGGCGGGGGTGAACTTGGGGCGATGGTCACGAGGACACCGGAGGGCCAGGGGCGCGCTCCAGTCATGGCAGGGCCTCCCCGGGCGCCCGCCCACCTGCTGTGTCCTCAGCGCCCACCAGGGCCTCCCCCCGCCCTGGGCCTGGGTAGGGGGCTCGTCCCAGCCCGCCCGACGCCCATCGGATGCTGTTGCCAACCAACACGCGTGTGCTGGCTCTGGGGAGGCGCCACCGGCTTGGGGACGCACAGGGACCCGCCGGCCGGCGCTCGTCCTGCCGTCGCCTCCCGCCCCAGCCCTGGGCGGCGGCCGCCGCCCCGCCCGTCACCCCGGCACGTCCGGACTCAGAACTCGGGAGCACGTTGCACCCCGTGGCGGGGCGTGCCCGTCTGGGCGCCCCGCCTGAGCCACTCTTCCCTCAGCCGTGGACTGGGTGAAACGAAGGTGCCCAGGGAAGACATTTTTTCACTGTGGTAAAATACACACAACAGATTTACCTTAAAAAAAAATTTTAATTATTTGTGTGTGTGCATACAGGAACTGGGTGCAGGCCAGAGGTGTGGGGGTGAGAGGACTCCCCAGAGTGGGGGGCAGAACGGGCGGAACCACTGAAGTCACTGCTGAGGGGGCAGCGGGAGACAGGCGGGGTCTGCTGCGCCCTGGGGGTCCCTCCCCAGCCGGGGGCCCACTCGGGCCACAGCTTGGTGGTGCTGAGACTGACCCGGGCTGCCAGGGAGGCCCACAAGGGCTTAACGGTTGTCCTGCTGACCTGTGAGGACCCGCCCAACTGCTGACCGCAGCGGCTGCCCAGCCCCACAGCCCTCCAGGTTGCCACCGGGCCAACCACGGCCACTTCCCAGCTTTCGTGACCCTCACCCTGGCCGAGGACTCAAAGTGGTGTCTGGCAGCGACTCAGACTCTCACCCGCGCTGAGTCATGGAGATCCCGGGGCCATCGCGTCCCCACGTAGCTGCCCCTCGCCTGTCTGCTTCCTCCCCTGCTGAGGCTGCCCGGGGGCTGGGCTGGGCAGGACCCCGCAGTCTGATGGCGCAGGAACCGCGGCCTGGGGCGAGCCCAGCGCACACTGCAGCGCCCGCTCTCCGGGGCCGTGCCCAGGGCTAAGGTGGGCGGCAGACACCGGCTGGGCCATCCGGGCTCTGCCCTCGGAGAAACCCCGAGTGCTGCTGGGGCAGCCGTGGGGCACGGGCCCGCCTGCCACGTGCAGCTGTGGTGCCCACCTCAGGCGTCTCCGGCCTGGTCTCTGGGCTGCAGGCAGGCCCCTGCCCAACCTCCGTCTCCGCGGGAGCAAGGCAGCAGCTCCTTGCTCACTAGAGTCGGAGAGGCGGGGGCCGCTCGGGAGCTGGCTGGGTGCAGGCCAGCACGCAGCAGGGGCGGCGTGGGGGGCGGCCAGGGCCGGTCCTGGGAGCCGCGTTACCCCGCACCAGGGTGGCGGGTGAGCGGGGGCCCACCCGGAGGAGCTGCCCTGAAGGACACCAGGCCCGCCGGCAGCGGTGGCCCCGGACACAGGGTCAGACGGCTGCCACAGATGTACAGTCACCTGCAGACAGGATGATGTCACCGGCTGTGCGCTGGGCACAGCTCATGAGGGGACCCAGAAAGGGGGATGGGCTGTGCCCGCTGTGCGGGTCACCCCGACTCGGGCGCAGAGTCCTGGCCTCATCCCTCACAAGCCCGCACCGCAGCCCGCAGGGGGAGGGGCCCTCCTTGTGCAGTTCCGGTCAGTGCCCAGGGCCGCGTGGGCGTGGAGCCATTTGCGTATTAATGTCCAGCTCTCCCCGGCCTGTCTGTAGCTTGGGGTGACTCAGGCCTGGATCAGAACAGTGGCAGCCTGTGGGGGAGGGGAGGCAGCAGCAGTGACCCCACCTTCTCTGCTCAGGGTGCCCACTTCTGCAGGAAGTGGGGCCAGCCATGTTGGGGTAGGTGGGAGAGCCCTCAGAAGAGGGTCCAGAAGGTGCTGGGGGCAGGGCCCGGGCTCTGGCAGCAGGCACAGCACCCCAGGGAGAGCCGACAGTGAGCCCGCACTGCCTCACCGGGCCTGCACGTCCAGGTCTGGAACCTGGTGAGGTCAGGGGCAGCAGGCCTGAGCTGGCTGGGGGGTGCTGTGGAAAGCCGGGTCACAGGAAAGCTCTCCTCCCTACCAGCCTGCGGCAGGCCAAAGGGCAAGAACAGACGCCCAGCCTACTAGTGGGAAATGGGGACCCCATGGCTCAGCCAGAGCCTGCGCCCACCTCTGACTGGCCGCCATGGCCCTGCACCAGGGTTGGCACAGCCCTACTTCCAGGGCACCCCCACAGACCACGCATGTCCCTGATGGAGGCCTCACCCTCCTTCTGGCCCCAGAGGCCCTTCTGGGTGCACAACACCCCTCCCTGCCCCACCGCCAGCCAGCAGGCACGGGAAGCCCAGTGAACACCCCATCCTAGCTACCCCACAGGGCCTGGGGACCCCACCCTTCCGGAGCATCGTGTCGCGGTGGCTGGCGAGGGCAGAGCCCCCGGAAGGGGGACGAGCCACCAGGCTGCTGGCACTGGCCTCGCGCGTCACGTGGCCTTCCTGGCTCGGGCAGCAGGACCGTGGGCGGGCTGCTGCTGGGAGATTTTGCTAGTGGCCTCGGGCCGCCATCTGGGCTGAACTCCAGGCGCTGGCTGGCCGCGTCCTCAGGGCAGCCTGGCCTCTCAGGCCTCAGACGCCCACAGACTGAGTGACCTGCACATGCGTCCCTCTGGGTACCCTGGCCAGGAGCTGGCCACCGCCTTCAGGTGTGCTGCCTGCCCTGGTTGGAGAACCGGCCGGCGGCCACTCTGAGCAACCCCTCTTGATCCTGGTGGCCTTGGCTCAGAGCCCGCCACCCCCGTGGCCTCTGGGAGTGGCCGGCCCTCAGCACTGTGCAAAGGCGCCGGGCAGCAACTGGCCCGTGGGGGACACAATCCAGCTCCAGTTTCCAGCGGGTCAAAGACACGGGACTCGGCTCCCGGGTTAAAGCACAGCGCGACCAAGACGCCGCAGCCCCCGAGCGCGACCCCCGGCCAGGGAGGGACCCCAGGGCCAGCAGCCCCCTCCCGCCTCCCCGCTGCCCCCTCAGCAGTGGGTGTCGGTGGATCCGCCTGTCCTGCTCCCCGCTCTGCCTCTGGGGAGTCCCCTCCCGCCACCTCTGGCCTGCGCCCCACTTCTGAGTGCCCCAATAAATACACCTTGAGGAAACAAGGCTCCGCGGGGCTCGGGCAGCCCACGGCCGTCTGCCGCCCCGCACACACAGGCCCAAGGAGTCGTCCCAAGTCCTTTCTTGCAGAGAACAGCACCGACATGACAGAGACGGGCCACGCCCGCAGAAGGGCCCGCGGGGGCTACTTGGCTACTTGGCCGGCCGCGTGATGATGCGCGTGGAGAAGTCGAACAGGTCGCGGTTGATCTTCCGCAGGTTCCGCACTTCGTCCTCCAGCTCCGTCACGCGGACGCGCAGCTGGTCCTGGCCGCCCAGGACATTCTGGGGAGGGGGTTGTCAGAGGGGCCGGTGCCGAGCCGAGGCCCCGGGCGACAGACAGGGCAGACTGGGTGCGGGCCCTCACCCCTGGGGGCCCTCCTCTGTCCCCAAGCCCCAAGGCAGCGCCCCGCCCCCAGGTGGCCCGCGCCCCGCCCCCAGGTGGCCCGCGCCCCGCCCACCTTCTCCATGGTGCTGCAGGTAACCTCATGCAGGTGCTCGGTCCGCTCCAGGTAGCTGGGCTCTGACCCCTAAAACGAGACGGGCCCACTGCACCCTCAGCCACCCGCTTCACCCTGGGGGTGTCCTGACACCTGCGGCTCAGGGAAGGGGTGCCCCGGTAACCAGCAGGGGAGGCATCTGTGTCCCGGCCGGGGCCCCAAACCCACTCCCAGAGGGAAGCAGCAGCGGGAGGGAGGGGCCGGGCCCG